CAAGAGGAGATATCCCTTTCATTTCCTGTCCTTATTACATAACTTTGTGAGAAAGTGTGAGTTCCTTTTCGGGGGAAATATGATGTACGGGTCAAATCGTCCTATTAAATTTTTTTTTGAAGGATTGTGGCTGACTACTTACAGTATTATACAGCTCGAAGGAAGCCGACACCACTAGAAACCATGCCCGTAGTTCATCCAGCTGCTTTGGCTTCTGAGGCCACCACATATGCTCCTTCTGTGGAGCAGGAATATATATCTTCCATTGTTACTCCCACTCCCACTACTACTGTTACTGTTGTTGCTATTGCTATGCCTATCTAGTTTTTACTGCCCTCCCCATTGACCCATGCTTTGATTTATCAAATGGGAAGCCTTTCCTGGTCTATGGATCGTAGGGCCACAAGGGTTGAGAAGACATGCCCAAGATGATTGATATGGTGGTTGAGAGGGTGTTGGCCCCTTAGAGGAATATGGTGACCCTTTCTAAAGAGTTGTTTGAGTCGGATAACCTCACTGCTTGATTAGAGGCCCAAGAGAAGGCCAAGGGTAGTTTTGGTGTGCTTGACACCATGAGAGGCAATCTTAGAGCCATGATGGTAGATATAAACCACCTAAGGTCTATTGATATATCGATGTTGTGGGAGGAGGTTCCCCTACCAGATGTATCTACCTCCATGCCACTGATGATGCCTATTAGTGAGGGTGATGATGATGATAAGAGGGCCGATGATGATTTTTCTGAGGGACTAATGAGGATGAGATTAAAAAAAGAAGAGGATGTGCATAGGCACTCACAGACTTGCAGGTCACCAACAAGATGATTGTCCAGGCTACTTTGGAGAGATCCCTTCGGGAGACCTCTGCAGTTGGCATCTGTGGAGTCTCTTCAGACCCCTCCATTCTTCCCAGTGATGTGCCGGGCACTAATGCTCGATCTGATGCCACATTTGTTCCTCCTGTGATACTATTGCCAGACACTGATGCCCAGGATGATGCTACTCTTTCAGAGACTCCAGATGAGAGCACTCCATAGGATTATCCTGTCAGGGGGACATTGTCACGCTTCCTCCTATAGGGTGACCCATTCTGAAGAGTTGTTTGAGTCACACGGGTGAGGTTGGATAACCTCACTATTTGATTAGAGGCCCAAGAGAAGGCCAAGGGTAGTTCTGGTGTGCTTGACACTATGAGAGGTGAGCTTAGAGCCATGAGGGCAGTTATGAACCACCTAAGGTTTACTGATATATCGATGTTATGGGAGGAGGTTCCCCTACCTGATGTATCTACCTCCATGCCACCAACGATGCCTAGTAGTGAGGGTGATGATGATGATAAGATGGCCCATGATGAATTTGCTGAGGGACTAATGAGGATGAGATTAGGAAAGAAGAGGATGTGCATAGGATTGCATAGGCACTCACAGACTTGCAGGTCACTGAGGAGATGATTGTCTAGGCTACTTTGGAGAGATCCCTTCGAGAGACCTCCGCAGTTGGCACCTGTGGAGTCTCTTCAGACCCCACTGTTCTTCCCAGTGATGTGTCGGGCAATAATGCTCGATCTGATGCCACATTTGTTCCTCCTATGATACTATTGCCAAGCACTGATGCCCATGATGATGCTACTCCTCCAGAGACTCCAGACGAGAGCACTCCATAGGCTTATCTTGTCAGGGGGACATTTTCACGCTTCCTCCTGTAATCTTTACTTTTGCATTGAGGACGCTTCTTTAATATTTGGTGGGGGTAACCTCAATTTAATTTTTTAAATTTTTTTCTCTTTATTTAATTTCTTATCTATTCACTTTTAGTTAAAAAAATAAATAAATAATGTGTTTTTAAAATTACAAACTAAAAAGTGTCCTTAATTTTTAACATTTTAATGTGATATTTTATTTTCTTCACTTATTTTGATATTCGTTCAAAATTAGCTTATTTTAAATACTATTTTGAATTAAATTAAAAGGAAATGCAAAGAAAAAATTAAATCAATAGAAAAAATGAATGAAGGTACAAAAAAAAGTGAAGAAAAACAAGTTCAAATATAAGGCAAAAAAAAATTACGTGTATTGACTTAATTTAAATACAAGATAAAGAAAATAAGAAGATTTTAAAAGTTTATGCTTAAAATTTTAAATTATTTTTAAAAAAAAATTAAAAAAATAACGCACATAGCAAGCGCGTGTTATACAAATACAATCAACTTACCCGATTGAAAGTGTCATGTCATTACAGGTGCACTAAAATATAGAAAAAAATTAATTCACAGAGGGGGTTATAGAACCTGTTTGAATTAACATGTGTCGTTAGATTTTGGTCATAATGTATTGATGCATTATCTCAATGAAATAATGATAGAAATCTTGACTTAAAGTGTTGATATCCAACACTTGCTTTTTATTGGTACAAGTCCTAGCCGCCTTCCCTTCTTTTCTTTTCTTTTCTTTAGGATTAAAATTAAAACAAAATTATTCAACATGAAAGGAATTACAGTAAAATAATAATATTAATTTGTATAATCGACCATAATTAATTCCAAGTGGTTCTCTTTTCTATTATTGTTATTCATAGTTTTTACAGCGTATTTATTCTTTTAGGAGTGATCATATAGTAGAGATCATCTATAGTTACTTGATAAGAAATTGTTCTGCTTTACTTGTTTGGGACATGAATATATTGACTGCAATTCTGCAATGTGAAGTACTAGTGGATGATAAGTCCTCATAGTCATCAACTCATCATGATCAAATTTTTATATTTTAAATTTATTTGTTCAAGATTAAAAGTGAGAAGAAAATTAAGATTTCAATCTTTCTCCAAGGTTAGGTGGGGAGGGGGACTGACCTAGATATAACATAAAAAAAAAAGACAGTATATTAAATATTCTATTCGTCCAATTTTAATTGTCCACTTTTAATTGTCATGATGCTCTTTTTGAAAATTAATTTGGCTAATTTTCAAAGTTAATTTAGATTACGTTCATTCGATATTTTAAACAAAAGATTTAGATATTCTAAAATTCTATGAAAAGTATTATAAATTACAATTTTTTTGCAATTCAATATAATGAAAAAATATATCGTAAAATGTTAGTCAAAGTTCTTACAATATAATTTTACTCTAAAAAAAGAAATCATGACAATTAAAAGTGAACCGAGGGAGTATATAGAAAGTGACCATGACACACATATTGTACCTGCTTGAATTAATTAAATAATTTTATTTTTTTAGTAATAAAGGCAATAATGTCCATCTTGGGATATAACCATCCCAATTGGAGGAGAAGGAAAGGTCAAGGGTAGAAAGTCTTTCAGCTTGCCTTTGGATATACGGTAAGAAGCTAGTCATAATTTTAAATTAATATTTAGATATATGATTTGGGTTTATGATTTCAAAATTCAAATTATCAATAAAAAATATATAATTTGTGATTTCAAATCGTGATTTTAAATATAAAACTTGGTTCATAAGTTTATTTTTTGTAAAAAAAAAAAAAACCAATTATTTTAAAATTTGCAAAAAAAAAAGAATTTCATGTTTGACGTGAATAAATTGTTTGTACCATGTCAAAGAATTATGAGTATTTGAAAATTTGTACGTAATCACACAAAAAAGATTTTTTATAAAAAGGATCAGAAAATATGTGGCTTATCAATTTAGTGCCTTAGGATATTTTGATATCTTGATTATGAACATGATTTGTTCATTTGGTAAGAATTATGAAATTTTTAATAATTTCACAACTTGTGGGGTTTTCATGTTCATATAAGAAAATACAATTTAAAAACTTCAAATTACATGTCTAAACAAAACTTTTACTTCAAATCGATCTGATGACATATCATGATTTTAAATTATGATTCGATACTAATGTCCAAATAGGTCCATAATATTAATAGTGGGAATATAATTGAATTGTGTAAACTGTTTGACTAAGAGTTCCACTTTTTAAAACTGATATTTTTATTTTTTTATTTTAGCTACTTTTCATGATTTTGCTTAGATGTGAAGGTGATCAGAGAGCTTCATTCTTTCACAAATGCTCCAACTTGCAAGAAAGTTGAATGCTCCAACTTGCAAGAATGTTAAAAAGAAACAAAAGAGAAACAACACCACAATGATATCTTTGCTCAAAGAAAACAAAAAGGCATAATACATGAATCTGTCATTCAACTTTGCTTCAGCTGACATTTATGTCCTTCAATTTTTGATATGCACAAGTAGACATTTAAACTTGTATAAAATTAAACAAATAGACACATTCGTCTTACGTGGCATCCTACATGACACTTTTGTTCTAATGTGGCATCCTACAAGTGTTATGCCACGTAGGATGTGTATGTTTACTTGTTCAATTTTATTACAAGTATAAGTGTTTACCTATGCACACTCAAAGTTAGAGGGTATAGATGTCAGTTGAAGTCAAGTTAAATGACATATTTATGTATTACGCGAAACAAAAAGGAATTAAATATAGAGTTGAAATTGGAAAAAAGATACGTTTTATTCCAAATTTGAATACAATATGGTTGAATAAGGAATAATGGTTTACTATGATAGCCCTTTAATTGACTTACTGTGCTTCAAGTAATCAACACCTTGTATCTTTTCATTCCTTTGCTTCTTGCTCAACTCCAACAATGTCCTCTCTTAACTTTCCACTTTCTATTCTTCTTACTGTTTTGCCTCTCAAAGTGTTGTGCACAAGGAAATGTTACTGATCATTTGGCCCTGATTTCCTTTAAAAATGCAACAATATCAGATCCACTTAACATCACAGCTTCTTGGAATGAATCTAGCCATTTCTGCAGCTGGATTGGTATAACTTGTGGCAACAAACACCGTTGAGTCATTTGGATTGTCTTGAACTCTAGTGAATTGGTTGGTTCATTGTCACCTGCAGTTGGTAATCTTAGTTTCCTCAGGGTACTTTGGCTCAGCAGAAACAGTTTCACTGGCCAAATCCCTGGAGAGATAGGAAAGCTATCGAGATTACGGATGTTGAACTTAGCAAACAATTCATTTTCTGGTGAAATACCAAGAAACATATCGCGGTGCTCCAATCTTAATTATATTCATTTTGGTGATAACAATCTGAATGGAAGCATTCCAACAGAGTTGAGATCATTGAATAAACTTGAGAAATTGGTTCTTCTGTCAAACAAATTAACTGGACAAGTTCCAGCTTATCTTGGTAATCATTCTTCACTCTTGGTAATTGCACTAGGAGATAATCAGTTACATGGAAAGATACCTGATATTTTTGGTGGACTCAAACATTTGGTGTTTCTTGATTTTGCTTTGAATTATTTTTCTGGAGAGATTCCTATGTCCATTTTCAACTTGTCATCATTGGACACACTTCAGTTAATTTTTAATAAACTTGAAGGGGCTCTTCCATCAGATGTGGGGTTCAATAGTTTAAAGTTCTTTCTCCTTGTGGGAAATCAACTGATGATAGGAAAGGTTCCTACTTCAATATTAAATTCTACATCAATTATGGAATTTGGTATCGATGCTAATAATTTCACTGGACAAGTACCAGCCTTTGGAAACCAAAAGGATTTGTACTGGCTTGGACTTGCTGAAAATCATTTTGGAAATGGAATGTTGGATGATTTGAAGTTTATGTACTCCCTACAAAATTGTACAAGTTTAGAGCAACAATCTTGGAGGAGTACTGCCAAGATATATAGGCAACATGTCCAATCTTTTGCGGCTTTCTGTAGGCGGAAATCCAAGGAAACATTCCCACAGAGATTTTACAGCTTGAAAACCTGCAAGTACTTGGTCGTGAGAAAAATAATTTTACTGGTATGATTCCTGAGTCTATTGGACAATTAAGGCAACTTAGTAAGTTATACTTTCACCACAACAAATTTTCAGGTGAGATTCCACATTCTCTTGGAAATTTGACGAGGTTGATTGAACTCGATTTGGGATCAAACAAGTTGCAAGGTACTGTGCCATCAAATCTTGGAAGCTGCAAGTTGTTATCACTCTTGTATCTGAATGGAAATCAACTTAGTGGTCCTATACCGAAAGAACTATTTGAGCTCTCTCTTATAGAATTTGACCTCTCAAACAACCACTTGACGGGGTATTTTCCTGTTGGGATTGGCTCTGGAAACTTGACTGGATTGATAAACTTGATCTACATGAACCATTCATACAACAATTTATCAGGTGAAATACCAAGCAGCTTTGGCACTTTGACTAGTTTGAGGGAGCTATACCTTGGTAACAATACCCTTCAGGGAGCTATTCCTGCATCCTTAAGTTCTTTGAGAAGTCTTGAATATATGGATCTTTCTCATAACCACTTTGCAGGGAGGATCCCAAAGTTTCTGGATGAACTTGTCTCCTTGAAGTTCTTAAATTTGTCTTATAATGATTTGGAGGGTGAGGTCCTTTGAAAGGAGCTTTCAGAAACATGAGTGCTGTTTCACTTGTTGGGAGCAGTGAGCTATGTGGTGGTATTCCAGAGTTCAAAATGCCAAAGTGCAGCGACAACGTAGCGTCAAGAAGACGAAGGTTATCTCATAGATTGATAATAGTAATGCTGATTATTGGAGGATTATCGGCAGCAACAACAGTGGCCCTTCTTATTTTCTTGTGTGCTAGGAGAAAAAGAGGTCTACTTCATCAGAGAATTCATCGTTGGATTCTAAGGAAATACGAAGAAGTATCTGGTCAAAAGGTTAATAAAGAGAAAAGTGCAATTTATATGCACCATAGTGTAACAGGGGGTGACACAATTGTTGCAGAGGTAGCTACAGGAATACTGAGGAAGGATTTCCCATTTACATATTTGGGATGTCCTATTTTTTATAAGAGAAAACAGAAAGCGTATTATCAGCAGATGATACACAGGATTGGAGCAAAAATACAAGCTTGGAAAGGAAAATTACTATCATATGGTGGAAGAGCAATCCTAATCAAACATGTACTACAGAGTACACATATTCATTGTCTTTCAGTGATGAACCCTCCTAGCAATGTCCTTAATCAGGTTCAAAGAATGATGGCCCAATTTTTTTGGAGTAGCTGCGTTGGAGGAAGAGGGAGGCATTGGACTAAATGGAGTAGCTTATGCTTACCAGAAAACGAAGGGGGTTTGGGTTTCAGATTACTTCACGATATGTCAATGGCCTTGTTTTGTAAGTTATGGTGGAATTTTAGAACGAAGACATCTTTGTGGAATGAGTACATGAAGAACAGATACTGCAAAAATATGACAGCTAATCTGACTATGTGGAGAACTGGATGCGGGGAATCTCAAATGTGGAAGAGAATGATACAGGCGAGAGATTTAATAGAACATCAAATTTTATGGCAGGCGAGGAAGGGATCATCTTTAGTATGGCATGATAATTGGACAGGATTAGGTGATTTATACACTATCACAGGGGATAATTTTGAATGGGATGACAATTATGAGAGAATTGCTGAACTAGCTACGAATGGTGAATGGGAAGTAGCTATCTTGAAAGAAAATTTTCCAACGGAACTGGTAGATCATATTATTTCCTGCATAAAACCGCCTAATGGAGGGGATGAGCAGGATAAGCCCTGCTGGATGTTAGATACGAGAGGGACTTTCTCGGTTAAAACAACTTGGAATTACATTAGACATAAGGAGAAGCCGAACAAAATTCATACACTGATATGGAATAAGGGAGTCCCTTTTAAGATGGCCTTTATGATGTGGAGGCTGTGGAAATTCAAGATACCCGTAGATGATAAAATAAGGAGATGGGGTATGGAAGGACCATCAAGATGTTGGTGTTGTGAAAGGCCGGATCAAGAGACACTATCACATGTGTTTCTAAAATCAGATTGTGCTAACAGGACATGGTCCTATTTTTTGCTCTTTTGCAGGCTTAAACATGTCTGGATTACAATTAAGGAAAGTTATTATGTTGTGGTGGGAGGCAGATGTCAAAGCAGATATGCGAACTTTTTATAGAGCTTTACCAAGTTTTATAATTTGGGAATTATGGAGAAGAAGAAATAGGAGGAATCATGAAGGAAAAAACATATCTCAACCAAGAGTCATACACAATGTCACGAGAAATATGTACATGTTGATAAAGTGTAGGAGACCAGGCATAAGATGTTTAAGAAACTGGCCAGAAATAGTAACGGAAGTAGAGGACTACAATCCAAGAGTGAAGGTTACAAAGGTACTATGGGAATTTCCTCCGAATGGATGGGTTAAGTACAATACTGATGGAGCATCAAGAGGCAATCCGGGGATGAGTTCCTATGCATTCTGTCTGAGGAATGAGATGGGGGATATATTGCATGCAGAAGGTGCTACTATTGACATCACAACTAATACAGTTGCAGAAGCTAAAGCTATATTAGAAGCTTGTAAACATTGTAAGCAGTCTCAACAATCAGGTAATAATGCAAACGGATTCTATGCTTTTATATAAAGTACTAGAGGGAAAATGGGCAACTCCATGGGTAATTGCAGATATGGTGGAGGAAATAAAGGCATGCTTGTGGAATAAACAATATAAATTCCAGCATATTCTAAGAGAAGGAAACCAGTTAGCGGACTATTTTGCAAACATTGCTTTAGACAAAGGAAGCTGCAGATACTCACAGTTTAAAAGCATAGAGACAAGAGGAAGAAAGATTTTAAACAGTGACAAGTTACATGCCCATATTTAAGAATTGCACCAAATAGGGGATAAGAGGGGCAGGGAAAATACAACATCAGTTTTTCACAAGCACAGCATATACAAGGAGAACGAGAGCACGAAGAGACCGAAACGGTGGTTTCGCCAAGGCAGCATCAGTGGTTCAGATGTTGGGTGGAAGGAAATAAAGTGGGAGTAAATGTTTTAGGAAACCCAAATCTAATGGGAAGTGTTTTGTAGGAAGAAAGTTTATTTTGTTACTTTAATTTTTCGTTTTGTCATTACAGACTTGGGCAATAGGCCCAAGTGAGTGTGTATTTTCTTTTTTCCTGAGTTATCAAATAAAAGGATCCCAAATTTAATTTTTTTTTAAAAATAAAAAAATCGTTGGACATGATCCCAAGAGTGACTTACAATAGTCTTTACAAAGAAACTAATGGCTTCTCTATGTCAAACATGATCGGTTCGGGTGCATTTAGCTCCGTGTACAGAGGCAATCTAGAGGAAAATGGAAAATTTGTTGCCATAAAGGTGCTCAAATTCCAAGTTAGGGGAGCTTCTAAGAGCTTTCTTACTGAGTGTGAAGCACTAAGGCATATCAAGCATAGAAACCTGGTAAAACTCTTAACATCATGTTCAAGTATTGATAACCAAGGCAATGAATTCAAGGCTCTCATTTATGAGTACATGGCCAATGGTAATTTGGCAAATTGGTTACACAATAGAAGTACAGATGGTGAAGAGAATCATGAGCCTAAAACTTTGAACATGCTACAGAGACTCAATGTAATAATTGATGTGGCTTCTGCATTAGATTATCTTCATCATCAATCTCGCACGCCATTGACACATTGCGATATCAAACCAAATAATGTGCTTTTGGATGAAGATTTTGTTGCTCATTTAGGTGACTTTGGACTGGCAAGGTTTCTGCCTGATGCTGCAAATATGCTCTCCTTAAGCCAATCTGCCAGCTCTCTCAATATAAGAGGAACTATTGGATATGTTCCACCTGGTAACTCTTCGATCTCCCTCTCTAAACATCATTTTATATTTATGCAGGTTCTCTTACTTATCAAGTTTGTCAATTCATGTATGTGCAGAATATGCAACAGGTATTATGTTTTCGACCTATGGAGATATCTATAGTTATGGAATTCTACTGTTGGAAACATTTACTGGAAGAAGTCCATCTGATGAGATTTTCAAGGATGGTCTAAACCTTCATGATTTTGTTAAGAGAGCCATACCTGAGCAAGTGAAAGATATTTCTGATCCCAAACTTGTCTATGATGAGAGGGGCAGACTGATCAACAATAAAACAATGGAGTGCCTTACATTGATTATTCGAGTTGGGATTGCTTGTTCAGTGGAATCAGCAAAAGATCGCATGGACATTGCCAATGTTGTTAATGAACTGAATGTAATCAAAGATGCCTTCCTGAGGAACTAGCAATATTGGCTATGAAGTTTTTGAGTTTCATAACAAAGATACTACTTATATAAGTTATATTATTACTATCCACTTTTCCCTTCCCATTTCCTGCTTCTCCTTATGTAATGGAAAAAAATTGAAAATAACCACCTGATTTGGTTTATTATGTTTCATTTTTTATACTGGATTTACTCTATAGATTTGAAAATATGTTTTTCTGTCTATACTGATTCCATTTACTAATAAAAAATTAGACAAAACTGGCAAAAATTATAAGCTCAACCAGAAATATGCATTCCATTTTACAAAATGAACTTGTCCAGACAAAGTTGGATACAATTTTACATGGCATATTCATAATGAGAAAACTAAAACTATACTGAAGTTTGGAATTTAAACTATACGGTAAGAGGGAAAAGGAGAAAACTACAAGGGATCTTTCTCATTTTTCTCACAGTTGCTTGAAGACTAAATGTTCAAGGTTCAGGTTCAGCATCTTTACTACTTTTTTCATGCTGGGCCGTAAATTAGAAAGCTTAGTCGTACATAGGGAAGAAATCCTCAACACTTTGACCATGTCATCTCGGACAAGCTCGGAAACCACCTTTTGATCAAGAATATTCAGAACACTTCCTTTGTCATTAAGATGAGTTGATGCCCAATAAACCAGGTCTTTTCCTTCTCCGTAGGCTTCCTCTATTGGTTTCCTTCCATTTATTAATTCTACTAGCACAACTCCAAAGCTGTATACATCGGTCTTTTCTGTCACTCTGGAAGTATATGCTAGCTCTGTCAATAAAACAAATTAAAATGTAATGTTAGGTAACTAGCAAAAGTGAAAATAGAGTGGGAAAATAGTATTTGGTTTTTCCTGTTTGAAACATACCAGGAGCTGAATAGCCGTGAGTGCCTGCAAAGCAGCTGAACTCGGAGCCTCTAGAGGAAATTTCTGAAACTCTTGCAACCCTGAAATCAGAAACTTTCGCTTCATACTCCTCGTCAAGTAGAATGTTTGTTGACTTGATATCTCTATGAATAATAGGAGGGACACAGTCATGGTGCAAATAAGTGATTCCCTTTGCAGTAGCAACTACAATTTTTATACCTCTGCTACCCATCTAATTCTGTCTTCCCAGCCTTGACTTCCCTGTGTAGTGCCTCAAATAAATTACCAATTGGCAAGTACTCGGAAGCCAACAAATTTGAACCTTCTCTCATTAAACTGGCATACAGTTTAACTATATTTCGATGCCTGATCTTTCCCAGAATGTCCATTTCCCTTGTCAAAACTTTCACCTCATTTCCTTTCCAAAGCTGCTTCACAGCCACTGTGCCACAGCCTTTCTTCAAATCTAACCGATAAACTTTTCCTGTTCCTCCACTTCCTATCAATTTATCTTCACCAACATCACAGATTTCATCTACATCAAGTTCCACATGTTGGAAGCTTTAAAGCTTCCATTTTGGATCCATTCCATTAGCATGTCCCGGACGCTTTTCTGAATCAGCTTCAGCGTTGTGCTTCTACTTCCAGTAACTCACAAGCATGAAAACACCCATTAGAACAGCCAAAGAAAGTAATACAATGCAAAACACAACTAGTTTGCTTTTCATGAACTTGTCCTAAGCAGCCATTCAACTACAAGCGACCATGCCTGAGTTCATTCGGATATTCCTGATACTTTGATCAACACAAAGCCCCTTGTTTCCTAAAAATGTTTTTTCTCCGCCCACCGTCAAAAGATCTGTAGGAACTCTTCCACTTAGCTGATTGATAGAGAGATCCAATGAAGATAATTTCAGGTTATCCGAGCTTGTTGGAATTGAGCCACTGAGATTGTTACTCGAAAGATTCAGGGAGTTCTGTAGACATTGAAAATTTGTAGGACTCTTCAAGACGTGTCCAATTCTAATTGATCTTCTACAAGATGTATCTGATTCCCGTTAGAATTCTAGGAGGCTACTCTAACCCTAAACCCTAGCTTATGCCTATATAAAGGGTACTATATTCCCTTGAAAAAGCATCTCAAATATTCTGCAAATTCATGAAATATTCATATAGTTAGAATGTATGCGTCCACTAGTGATCACTGGACCAGGTGCCCCTACAAAATAAAAGTGCGGAAAATAAATAGCTCAAAGTAGGTCAGGCACAAGGATTTTACGTGGAAACCCCCTTGCTCAAGGGAGGTGAAAACCACGACTTGTACTCACAAGATTTCAACACAAACTCCATTTCACTCAAACAGAGCAAAGTTTCATATTACAAACTCTTGCAACCTAGGATTAAAACTCTTTAATCCCTTCTCCCCTTACTGTAGCAACTCTACTACAAAGGAAACTAAGCAATAACTCTATTGCCCACTAAACCAACTAACTCTAGTTGTTCTAGACTTTAAGATCCCAAAAAGGCTAACTCTACCCACCAACTCAAATCTTGAAGATAAGAGCTAAACAAGCAGCAACTCTGCTGCACCAAAACATCAACTAACTCTAGTTGACACTCCTAGGCAACTCTACCCAAGAGAGCATCAAAACAATGATGTAAAAAGGCTTGACTAATACATAGATGATTCAACTAACTAACTCTAGTTAATTGGACTCAAACTAAAGACCTAGACAAGCAACTGATCTACTATCCTTTATAACTTAGGAGTAGATTTACACTATAAGAACATAAGACACACAACTCAAATACACCAAAGACACTTCGACACTCCATCAGGTCCCTTGTTGAGCATGAGCAGTGTTGTTCCTTGAAGATGACCTTTTCTTTGTGAGCTTATGAATTTTCAGAAATTCAAAACTTTGTTTGCCAAATTAGAAAGAGACTATATTCGGATAAGGCCATTGGCTGAGAACCTGCTACTTTGAAAAGCTATGCACCAACCATGTCAGATGTGACAGCTTTTAGACAACTGTCTTTTGACTTTTTCGTGTCTGCAACCTTTCCTTAACCAGGTCCCTTGTTAGATCTGGAAGTTTGTTAAATCATCAAAACTTTAAATCAACTTAAAATAACAATTCCCTCTTTTTTTATGATGGCAAACTAATATCGAGCCACTCTAACTTCCGTCCTTTTGTTTTGTTTATTTCCCCTATCATCAGTCCCAATACCAGAAGACTGAGTCTTTCTTGGATCTGGTCCCATGTTAGATCCTGAAGTTTGTTAAATCATCAAAACTTAACATTAGCTCCAAAATAATATCCCCCTTTTTGATGATGACAAACTTATTCAACTTCTTCCCCCTATCAGCATGACTCTTCAGGTAACTTGGGCAACACTGAGCATGATTAAAAGTGCATAAAGTAATGAGACAAGTCATTATAAACATGACCTTTTTCATTCATAAATAAAAGATCAGCAGTCAAATCATTGCAAATTTTATTACGAATGAGAGCCAGGACAATGCCCACTGAGCTTTAATAGAAAAGGATGAACGAGGACTGACACGGGAATTTAGGAAGAGGGGCTTAGGAACAAGGGTAATATTAAGAGAGCATTTGCCTCAGGTTTTTCAGAAGTCTCTCTTGAGGTTCAGCATTCTTTGTTGCTCGGGATTCATGTTGAACCTTCAGGGCTGCCAGTTCTTCTCAACCTGGTCCCTCTGATTATGCTTTCAAAAGCTGGGCCTTTAGGCAAATTATTTCAATATCCATGTTAGCAAGAGCAGATGTCATAACTTCCAATGCAAGCTTGATTTTCTCATGTTCCACCAACGACTTAGACACATTACTCTTGTTCCCTATCTTCACTTCCACACATTCGCATTTCAAGTCAGAAGGTACCCATATCTCATGTAATATTTACCATCCTTAGTGGATATGATCTTGTGCATGTATTCTCGCATTATGACAGAAGGATTGGTAAACTCAAACTTACTCAAGGCCTCTAAGATGAACAGATCAATAACCGAGGAACCATTTCATTTTTTTAATCTAGGCAACAACACTTTATTAACAAACTCCAAGAACAATTGATATTTCCTTTTAAGATGCTTCTTGGGAACACTGGTACCGTTGAGATTTTGGAATTTGTTGATTTTCTGAGTAAACTGTTGTAAGACAGATCCTCCAGCAGTCAACCTGGTCCCTTCCCTAGAAATATTCATAATGTCTCCCAAAATTTCCTCATTCAGAAGGAAGGAATAGTTGCCTACCTAAGTATTTATATTCCCATCAGTAACAATCATGTTGTAATAGAAATCCCTCACTTTTGACTCATGCAACACATGTAAGTGACCTGAAACAAATGGTTCCCACTCTGAATTTTGTTTTTCATTTCAAGGTCTGACACCCTCCCATTTGCAATGCTTTGAGTTCTCAAAATATCAACCCTTTCCTTTTTGGACATCATCTCTTCCACCTTCTTCTTTTTGCTTGTTGAACCAAGTCCCTCTTCACACTCAAGAATTTCTTCATCCAGTAGGTTGATTAATGACGTTTCAAAGACACTTCATCCAATTCTAAGCTTCAACGATTGTTAATCAGTATGTAACCCAACTAAATAAGTTGGGGTAGAATCCCACAAGGAGCAGTACGTGTTTAAGATTCAATTGTGAAGTACAAATATGATCAAATCAGTCATAGGAATAGAAATTATTGAATAAAGACATAATTCAAACAAGGGGGTAACACGAATGTCAAATGAGGGGCTTTGATTTGAAATTATCAACTACAAACAGTGGTAATCAATATGAAATAACAATAATGAGATGGTTTCTTGGGATGTGATTCGATAGGCTAATATAGACAAATGGGTAATTACAACTATAATAAAATATCCAAATATTAGTGAGTAAGCTAGACTATAGAGGAGGTTAACTTTCTCTCGAATAATTTACCCCGAATCAAGTCGATTTCTCTCAAGCATCAACAAGCATGCAAATTAAGAACATTCCACACCTTAGTCCATTCACTCTCTCAAGTTGAATGTGTGGAAAAGGGTTTAAAAATTCACCCTCTCAAGCTGAACCCATGACAACCCAATACCAACAGACCATCAATCAATAATCTTA